TAACTCCCTGCACTCTGATCACTCTGCCACCAATTAGTTCCCCAAAGAAAACTGATTAGATAATTAACTTCAATTATCCCGGGGAGGGGGGGGAGGCTCAGTGAGCTAAAGAGACATTTAGCCCATCAGCTCAAGACTGATAAGAAGGGCACAAGGAAGGAAGGGGTGGGGTGAACAGGCTAATTGAGCCCACTCTCAAAAAGATCCTAGAGAAGGGAGACCTCTGCTCCTCAGGCCCTGGAGAAAGGGCCAAAAGCACAGGGAACACTGTAAATAGCATTGCTGCACGGGACCGTAAAGATGTTCTTGGAGGGAACACATATAAACAACATAGCGTGGATACCTAACCAGTGGAGGTTTCTGGGCAGGTTTCTGTGATGCAAGAAGGCAGGAGCAGACCACAGCCTGGCTATAGATCCCTATGTTAGATATCTATTAGATGCTCATGAGTCATCTCAAAATATGTTATCTTTGTGGAAATTTAGAGAAGCAACCAGAAATCTGTTTTTCTCCATAGCAAATACCTTTTCTATTATCCAAACAGTGTAATTTAAATTTCTCTTAAGCGCTAGTTCTACTTGAAGCCTAGAAAATGTGAAAAATTGACATTCTGACACCACACTCTTGAGTTATGCAATGGCAAAGAGACAAAATAGAAGATCTTTCCAAATATTAAACAGCAGTTGTTTCTTTGAAGTCACATATCTCAAATGAATGAGTCTGATTAATCTCAAAACAACTAAAAAATTCTGCTTTGGCTTATCATATGCAAAATTTCAGGCAGAAGTGCTTTTTTGTGGATATTTGGGGAATGGGAAATTTATAACTGTATTTTTAATATAAACTACTAAATACAGAGATGCTACTGCAGCCCCACACCTTAGAAACAGATGTCAAATTTCTGAGATGATAAATAGATTGAGGAAAAACAGTTTCTTTATTCACTCCTGACCTGCTCTATCAATGAAGAAGGAAGGAGAATTAAGCAAACAAACTAGTGATGAGGGGACTAAGTATTTAGAAACAAATAGAATAAGCAATTGCAACACCAAGTTTAGTAAAGTTTGTTGCCTACCTAGTGCTTACATACATCAGAGATGTTAAACCCTGTGGCAAATACTAGGGAGGAAGCAGTATATTTGTTCAATGTTGAAACCAGTGACACTGAGAAATAAATTAGAGCTCCCGCAAGCTTGGTTGAAAAAAATCAGTAAGAACAAGAAAAGGCCTTTGAGGGTTCTAGTCTTAATACTAAGAGTGCTTTGTCTAAGGCTTTCAACTCTCACAGTAGTTCCACCATCATGTCTGAAGTCAGTAGAAGACAATGCTTTTGCATCACAGAGCTGAAAAAACGGGGAAAATAGATGTTCATTTGTTCTGAAAAAATTACAGAGACTGCAGGAGAGACTGAAGATACCTTATCTTCCGGGAGCCCACCTAAAGTAGCAGTAGTCACTAACAAGGCATTGTAATCCTCTATCTAGTCTGTGGAGGCTGGTTTTGTAATGTGAGGCTCATTCTGGGAATTCATCACAGGGGATATGGAGGAAGATCCTGCAAACTCTCTGATCTGAGCCAGGAGAGTATTTTGGTTTAGTCTACTACATCAACAAACAAGACATGTCTGACATGTCTAGAGAGGCAGGAAACTCTGGAAAGGAACACAAACTTTGCACTTAGAACAGAACCTTGTGGCCTTCAGTTCAGACAGCACATGCCAAGAGTAGTGAAATAGACTGAAAGCTCTAAAGTGAAGTCAAATTGTCTGCATGAGGCACAAACTTTCTTTTTTATTATTGAAATAAATTACAATTAAGGTAAACATTAATTGCTACTGAAAGAAAACCACTGCAAGCTGAAAACAACATGACAGTGCTGTTAAAGCACACAAATATAATAAAATATTCATAGTATATTGAAATGTATAGTTGGCCACTAGGGACTTCTGATATTTATAATTGCTGGCCCATGTTAATGCATGCTCTTCTCCTTACACTAATATTCCCTCCCTACTTCTTCCTGATGTTTGCAATATCCCTTGTTGTACCAGGTTTTAATCTAGACTGTATACACTCTGGGGCAGGGATTATTATCCTACTCTGTGTTTGTACAGCAAATGAAGCCTCAATCCTGACTAGAGCTTCCAGGCACTACTGAAAAGTTCATAATATAAATGTTGTGTGTAACTGCTCAGTCCTGAAGACACTGAATAGGAGGCAATTAGAGATCCTTGTCCAGGGCCGGCTCCAGGCACCAGCCGAGCAAGCTCGTGCTTGGGGCAGCAGATTTCAAAGGGCGGCATTCCATCTAATCCTTTTTTTTGGTTTGGTTTGGTTTTGCGCTTCACCGCTTTGGCCGCCCCTGCAGGTTTTTTCTTTTTGGTTTACTGCTCCCGCCGCCCTGTAGGGGGCGGCGGCGTGGAGGACGGGAGCGCCCTGCATCAAGCCCAGTAGGGCAGCCCGCGTCCTTCCCTGCCTGCCGAATGGAGCAGCACGGAGCCCTCCCAGCAGGCGGCGCAGCGGGAGGGGCCGCGTGGCAAGCGCCCCGCTTAAGGAAGCCCTGGCCGCCCCCCTTCTCTC